TGCCCAATGAGATATGTCCACTTTAGTAGAGTATATATAGATATAGATCTTTAGAAGAGGAAAAGATAGAAAGATTTTAGTAATATATATAGATATAAATCTTTAGAAGAATAAATGTGAGTCCATTTTTGTTGGTTATTGATGCTCAAATCCATTTGTTTTATAGGTAAATCTACAAACAGTTGTGGAAAACAAAAAAGTTTCTTATCTTTTCATTTTTTTTTTACTTAAATGTATAGTAATTTAAGAGATGCTTTTAAAGGGAGGAGATTGGTTGGGTAAAATAAATAAATAAATACAAAATGCTAATTTATATATATTTTAAATATTTAACTTAAGTAAGTACAACTAATTTATAGTCAACCAATTATCTTGAAATAGGAAAACACTGGTATTATGCTAATTTTATCTATATTAATGCTTATAAGAAGAAAAGTGATTAATTTTATAATGGTATATATCAAAGAAACACAAAAGGTTAAAAAAAAAGGAAAAATCTTTTTGGCCAGAATGATAGTTTTTCTATGTTATTTTAACTTTATAAATATTTTTACCCTTTTAACTTAAATACATTTTAACTAAAAAAATGGAAAAAAGATCAGTTTATTTTAAAATAAAAAACAAATTAAAGTTTTTTTAATTTTCTGGCCAAATTCTAGCCAAATTTTTCCATTTAGCACTTCCCTAAAAAAAAAAGTACTTACTAAGAAGATAAATGCAAGGTTAAAGTAATTTAGCAAAATTTGAACGTCACTTTAAATGCGGAGTTAAATGTGATTTTTAAATCATGAATATGTTTAATGACGTTGGCCTTCAATTTGATTTATGTTAGTAACTTACTTCTCTATCACCTTGTCATATGTATTAAATTTATCAAAGTTGGCCTTCAATTTGATTTATGTTAAGTTAACTTACCATACATCTTTAAGTGTAATATTTTATTCTTTTTCGATCATTGACTATTTCGTGATTTTACTGTAAATCAAGTTATTGTTAAACAACATGTATATGATGACCTCTGCATCTTTGGTGGATGGGATTCTCGGTAAGTTGTCTGGTTATCGTATCTCCTTTTTTGAAGTACATTGTTGATTAAACATCCTTCTCTACCTCTATTGAAGAAGCTTTGTCCTGTGTTTCAGAATATTTCTTCATTGAATTGTGAGTTATGTCGATTTGCAAAACATCATCACATCTCATTATCTCCAAGGATTGATAAGTAGGATGAGTCACTCTTAAGTCTTTACTCACTTTTGTACTTTCTGTGTTGAATTTAAAGCTCAATTCAATGTTTCGGTACATATTCTAAAGTAGTTCAAGAGCTAAAGGATCATTCTGCATTGTACAAACTAGTAGTAATACTTTTCAACATTGAGAATAGGATTTGTGGAGGGGAAAGCAAGGAGAAAATAAATCCAAACAAAGATTAAATTCCTTGTATATTTTCATCTATTAATAAACAAATCATTTGATTGTACAACAAAACTTGGAATTAAGCAAGAAACCAAACAAAGTAATAAAAAAAATTTAAAAAGTGAACTATATATAGTAGTTATGTGTCCTCTTCTTTCTCTCAAGTTGTTAGAAAATGAACTCTCTTCTATCTTTTCTGGAAGTTGAATGCCTTAATGGCAAATGCAAACAGGAAGGCGAAAACAACAGGCCATGCAACGATAACTGCTGCAACAACTCCAAGAAAATCATGCTCAAATCCAAAATAACGCCCCAAGAATTGTTCAACATTTTCTTCATTGCTAACCCTAGTTTGAAGGTCTCCGAATTGTGATGCAACGAGACCATACAAGGTCCACGCGACAGGGCAAAGCCAATAGTACCATCTCCACCATATTGGAATACGCTGTTTTTAGCAAAACAGACACAAAGATAACATGTCATTTTTCCGAGAAACAGTGGATAAAAAGAAAGATGGAAATGAAGGATTTTAAAAAACTTACAGGTCGTGGAACGATGAATCCTGAAAAGAGATTCCATAGAGCATAGAAGAAGGCAGCGATTATAGAAGCAACGTTTTGATTAGGGGAAACAGCCACAGTCAGCATGCCATAGAAGGTGAAGTACAAGAGAGTGAAGTACATGATGAATAAGTACCAAAAGAACTTGGCAACAGTCCATTCGAATCCGATCATTGCATACACAATTATACCATAGAAAACTGCTTGTAAAAATACATAAGGTATTTCAATGACAACCTGTGCAAAGGCATAAGGTAAAGCAGAATACATTCCAGCAGCTCTTTCTCTGTAAAATACAGTACGCTCAACGGCTACAACAGGCTGGGCTGATGATGAATTTTGTACACCAAGGAAGAGAGTTGCAGCATACATAGATCCCATAGCATTAAAAAGACCCTGGCTCGAACTCCTGTGATCAATAAAGCTCGAAAAGTTTAGGGAAAAAATTACCTTATTTCAAGTTTATATTTACTTGTCAATGTGATTTTACTTACACTCTGCTACCGAGATCCCAGAACAATGTGCCAAAGACAAGTGCTAAGATGACTGTGAAGATGAATCTAACTGCCGTGTAAGATGGATTACGCCAGTATGACAAATGTTGTTTCCAGAGACATGCCATACATTGAGACCAGAAAGACTGTGAAAATTGAGTTTCAAAATGCAGATCCTTTGTACCAGGACGAGGCGTACTTAATTCAGCAATTAAGGATTTGTTCCTCTTGTAGAGGGCTGAATTCTTGTACAAATCAGTAAAGTCAACTCCTAACATCATTTCTTGAGATGCGGCTGTGACTTCTAACATCCAAGTTGCTGGATTGTAAGCCTCTTTGATCTTACTAACTCCAGGCAATGACTGAACTCAAGAGGAAACTAAGATTAGTATTTGATTATATAAACTAAGAAAAACAAACACATATATTTTTTTGTTAATGTACCTCAAAGTATTTGATCAAATGACAAGAATAGCGACCCAGAGGACCAACATATATCTCCTGTCCTCCTCGTTTCATTAGAAATAGCTGCAAAGCCGTGTTTCACTTTTAATACAGGTGGCAAAGAGAAAGTGGAAACAATATGCTTGAAAGGTTAATAATCTCACCTCATCAAAGGCTTCAAAAATGTCAATGCTAGGTTGATGAATGGTACAGACGACAGTTCTGCCTGTATCGACAGTGTTCCTAACAGCTCTCATTACAATGGCAGCAGCTCTTGCATCCAACCCTGAAGTTGGTTCATCCATGAAAATAATAGAGGGGTTTGCTACCAGTTCAACTGCAATGGTCAGCCTTTTGCGTTGCTCGGTTGATAGACCATTGACTCCAGGCAATCCGACTAAGGCTGATCTTAAGGGAGTAAGCTCCACAAGCTCCATAACTTCCTCAACAAACATCTGCAGAGAGGAATATCAATAATCGTTTGATAGAGTGTATACGAGTGTTTCTTTAATATGTTCAACCAATTTTATGGAGAAATGATTTAGGGGAACCGACCTTTCTCTTGTTTTTGTCAACATCATGAGATAAACGCAGCCAAGCTGAGTAAACCAATGACTCATAAACTGTAATATAAGGCGAATGGATGTCATTCTGCTCACAATATCCAGAAATACGTGCAAACGTTGCTTGCTTCTTCGGATATCCAGAAATCTTGATGTCACCATCAATATACCCTCCTGTTTTTCTTCCAGCCAACACATCCATCAGTGTTGTTTTACCGGCTCCACTAACGCCCATCAAAGCTGTGAGAACACCTGGTCTGAAAGCTCCACTCACACCTTTTAGAAGTACTAATCTATCTTCAGTGGGATCTTGGTCTTTTATTTCCTGAAATTCATTAAAAAATGTTAAGTTAGTTGTTTATAGAAAATAAAGTGTTACGAGTCACGGTACTATTCATGAAAGGTTACCTGAGGCATGTCAACGGAGTATACAACGTTATCAAAAGTGATGGAATGCGGTTCAAATGGAAGAACCATTCCCCTCTTCTTGCCCTGACCCTCAGTTTCACTTCCCTCAATGAATTGAGCATTCTCATTATCTTCTGATAATATAGCTTGTGGCTTACCAAAAGCTGAAAATGTTTAAGAAATATGGTATTAGCCCCGTTTCCCCGGTAGTATATGACATCGTTCATTTTATGTTCTTTTCAAGGGGAATTTAAATGCACCAGAGATACTCACGGTTCAGGTAAGCGAGTCCAACACTGTAGCAGACATTGAAGATTATAATGTATCCAATAAGTGCCCCAACACCTATCCAGTACCAATATGCATCTGGAAAGAACCCTCGAGATCTTACTACTGCATATCCAAGTGACTCAGATCCATTTGGCGCGATCTGTTTGAATTAAGAGTGGGTATGAGCATCCATATATGAGAAAATTAGCTATTTGCATGTGGTTTGGAATAAAAATACTTACATGTTCCCATTTCTTCCCATCAAATTCATTCACAAGAATTGAATTCACAGAATACATTAATGGTGAGATCCAGTAACCCCAGATCCACCATTTCTTCACATCATCTGTAGTATCATGCAAAAAAGAATATAAATAAAGGAATGATTGAACAAGAAAAATAATTTTTGCGAACGTAATAAAACCTACTTCTCGAGAGGACAAATCCAGACAATGCAAATTGCAAAACCAGTGCAAATGCTCCAAATGTGGTAGCGACTCCCATTGTTCTCCCCGCTGCACCAATGAATCTGAACAATCCCGATGCCATCTGGTGTACTAGTACGAGAAGCAAGAATTGTTTGAACAATCTGCAAAGCCATAGTCCCTTAATAATCATGAAATTATATGAAGGTCATCAAATTATTACTCTGCACTGTATTTTTTCTTCCCTTACCTTGAAACATTCGGATCAAATCCCATGACATAATATGTAAGAAATGTCCAAAGACCAACTTCAAAAAATGTTATTGGGATTTTGAGAATCCATGTCGGAAGGGCATAAGCCCATGAAGGATAAAAAAGAAGGTCCCTTTGCTTGAAATAGACTGGAAGCTTTAAAATCGTCAGGTTGATCTCAGCCATTCCATTAAACATAATCACAACGACTACGAAAAAGAGAGCACCAGCATACATCCCTCCATCATCCATATTATCTCGGGGCATCTCAGTACGGAAAAAGACGGACATCATTATAAATGCCATTACCATGAGCTGAGAAAACAGAACAGAAACAAGGAGAATTAACAATTGGCATATGGTTATGAAATGGAAAACACATATATTTCTAATAGACTAAGTAGTAAGTACCTGAAAGAGCTTGAATATGTAAACAAATGAGTTCCTCTTCATAAGTAGGAATTCTCGGTCAGCACAGACCTTCAACATTTGTTTCGTCCCTATACCATACTTCTTAGTAGACAAAGCAGCAGGGTGGCTTTTGGTCTTGTCGTAAGGAGTTGTAAGCTCATCGGCGAGTTTCTTTCCAACATGGAAAGACTGATATGCCTCGGCAAATTCTTTTGATGTGATAAACCTATAAGGTTCATCCTTCTTAGCCCAATATTGTTGCTGATCCTTCTTTGATGTCACCTGCAAGAAATAGTTTAAAATGTCACTCTTGTATGCCTAAGACATCGTTAACTGCATTAAAGTTTGGTATAACCAACAGATTAAGCTTTCATGGTGGTCACACACTTCAACATAGTATCATAATAGACGAAGGTCGTTGGTTAAGTCTCACCACTACTCATGAAAAAGAATATAATAGTGTGCTCTCTCTAACAGTTTAAACTCTTAAATGAGAGATGATCACCTACTTCAACGCTATAATCGTGTTGGTTATATTTTATTGTAAGACATACCTCTTGCAAGAAATCTGCCACACCTTTCCTCTCGGGGCATTTGAATCCCATGGATTCAAAGAAGTCAAGAACATCCTCCCGAGGGCCCTGATAGACAATGCGTGCATCTGACAACAGAATTATGTCATCAAATAAGTTGTAAGTCTCAGGAGCTGGCTGCAACAGAGATATCACAGCAGTTCCCTTCAAGAGCTGCACCGATTGTCTTAGAGAATTGACAATGGAGAAAGTAGTTGAACTGTCCAATCCAGTTGAGATTTCATCCATGAAAAGCGCCTTTGATGGTCCAACAAGCATTTCACCTGTCGTCACACGTTTCTTTTGCCCCCCTGAAATACCCCTTAGCATTTCATCTCCCACCATAGTATCAGCACAGATATCCAGTCCCAAAATCTGTAAACGGAAGTCAAATTACTAACTATAGGTAACGTCCATATGATAGGTTATCTGCTACAACAAGTTAAAAAGCACTATATACATTAAATCCTTATTAAGCGAAATAATTTGGTATTGTCAAATGTTACCTTAAGAACATAATCTGTAACAATATTGGCTTCCTGTCCTTCTGTTACTGAAGCCTGCATTTCCCAAAAACAATAAACATTATTAACATCTATAATAAAAGATTTAGTATTATTCGCTTTCATGTCTTTCTGTTGTATTCTTACCTTCATATAGATATCAATATCACGATCTGGCTTGATATTAGCAGCTTTCTCTCTTCTTGATAGTTCAGCCAACATCTCTATACAAATTTAGTAAATGAATCAAAACTTGTTTCAGTCTAATACACTATAGTCAGTACTATTCGTATACACTCTATCAAACAATTCTTAGTTATAAGGAAAAAAAATAGAAGAAGAAAACACGAACCATATCTTGGGCCAACTCCTTGGCATCTTGCGGAAAATTCCAAAGTTTCCCTTACAGTCATTTCTCCAATATGCAAGTCATGTTGGCTGATATAAACAGCTGTTTTTTGTGGAACAAATTCATGTAGTTTATGTCCATTATAGGTCACATTCCCAGTAACCTGATTTCCAACAAAAAGGGGGAAAAACTTTAGTAGGGTTCAACTTCTATCAATTGACAGTATAAGAAAATTAAAGACTATGGTGCTCGAATTCTTAAAAATATTGGCATGTCGGATACTCCCAAAATAGTGTTATTTTGAAGAATCCGGCACAGGTGCAACAATATTTTGAGAGACTATGAGCAACATAGATTAAAGGCATAATCATAAACATGCCATTTAACTTGGGCTCGACTGACATCTATGCACAAGTAGGCATCTAAACTTGTATAAAACTGAACAAATAGACCGAGTGAGTATGATATATTTGGAATTGAAATTTTTACCTTTAGAGTAGGATCAAGTTTTCCAGCCAAAGCTAATAACAAAGTAGTCTTTCCAGAACTTGGAGGTCCCAAAAGTAGAGTCATCCTTGAAGGTTTAATCATACCACTTACATCATTGAGAATTGTGATTTGCCTCTTTCTACTTGGAAGTATGTGAATAGTATTCAAGAATGTCTTTGGAGCAAAAAATTAGAAAAAAAGAAGAAGTTAGTTTCAATTTAAAAAGAAACAGACAGTCCAGTGCACAAAGCATCCCACGTTAGCAGGGTTCGAGGAAGTGTCGCACCTCACATGGTGAGATGTAGATAGTCTTGTATTACCCCAATACAAGGATTAATGACTGCTACCACGACTCGAACTCCCTCCTTAGTTTCTTTTAAAATATTAATAATTATTTTTTAATTTCATATTTTTACCTCAAGAAAGTTGGTCATGAAGTTGATAAAAGTAGGCAAAGCTCTGCTTCCTACATATGCATCTGCCTCAATATTCAGATGCTCATATCTCACTTCTATTGATGGCAAATCAATCCCAACTCTGTAAAATCATCCAAAGAGATTAAAAAAAAAAACAAGTTAAATACCAATTAAATAAAAAATAGAAAAGGGAAACTCAACTCATAGTTAGAATAAAAAAAGAAGAGAAAAAGTCAAAATTTCAATGCACTAAGTTCTCGCTATGCCTATGTCTGAGGAAGGACCAAGTTCAACACAAGGCAACAACTCTTATTATGCATGGATCAATAAAGGTCATTTCTGTTAGAGGTTATTTTCACAACTTGAACATTTAAATGTATGATCACACAACGACAACAACAAAACAAACTATATATACATGAAAAATTTAAAATTATGTGACTTACGTTTCAATTCTGTCCTTAAGTTTCAACAAGAACTTCTCATTATCTTCATCAGCAACCTTAACAAGTCTATCAAGTAAATTCTTCCTTTCTTGATGCCCAATATCATTTGTATCAACTGCAGCAATAGTTTCACCTTCTTTACCAAACAATAAACCTTTTCTCATTCGATCGAACGTAGGCAATTTTTCTAAAGCAGCCCATTTAAGAGCCTCTTCATCATCCTCATCTCTTCCTGAACGCGAAAATATCGAGTTACTAGAATTTCCCCTCATACTTGCCCTTAAACTACCTCTAAAATTGTTAAGATTCACCCCCTCCATCATGAATATTCACTCGATCGATCAAAAGGCTAATCAACTCTAACCAGAACTCGTAAACTATACAAATGAACTTTTTTTTGGTCCCCTATACTTCAAACTTGAGTATGGGAGATACCCAAAAAAATTTTGTGATTTTTTTTCTTGTATTATGATATGGTTTATAAAGAAGAAAAAGAATAGTTGGTGAGAAATAAGAGTCAAAGGCAGAGCACCTATGTAGCTAAAAGTTAAGGATACATTAACGCAAATGTAGTCCTTTTTTGACTTGACTAGATTGTGACTAAATATTGAAGAAAATCTAGAATAGTCAAAAGCCATCATTCAATAGAGACGGTCTCTTTTGTACTTACGTAATGCTAAAATATGAGTGGTGGAGAAGGTATTGGAGAAGCTAATAAAGTCAAAAAATACATTAAATAAATTGATGGTATGTAAAAAAAAATTCATTTATCATTTAACAAATAGTACTAATTATTTCTACACAAAACTTGGAATTCAATAAGGTAAAAATACAACATACATAGAAAATTAAAAAAAAAAAAAGTCTTCAAGTTGTGACATATACACAATTGTTGTGTCTTTTATCTTCTCTGGAAGTTGAATGCCTTAATGCCTAATGCAAATGTCAAGGCAAACATAACAGGCAACGCGGCGATCACAGCAGCAACAACGCCAAGAAAATCATGCTTAAATCCGAAGTAACGTCTCAAGAATTGTTCAACATTTTCATCATTGGTGAGAGGAGTTTGGATGTCTCCGAATTGTGATGCAACAAGACCATACAAGGTCCATGCAACAGGGCAAGCCCAGTAGTACCATCTCCACCATATTGGAATGCGCTGTTTTTAGTAAAAAAAAAAGAACATAACATGTCATTTTTCGTTGTTCAGTAATGTTTATAGGCATAAAATGAAGGATTTTCAAGGACTTACAGGTCGTGGAACGATGAATCCTGAGAAGAGATTCCATACTGCATAGAAGAAGGCCGCGACAATGGATGCAACGTTTTGGTTGGGGGTAACAGCCACGGTCATCATGCCATAGAAGGTGAAGTACAAGAGGGTGCAGTACATGAAGAAGAAGTACCATAAGAATTTGACAGCAGTCCATTCAAACCCGATCATTGCATACACGATGACACCATAGACAGCCGATTGTACAAATACATAAGGTATTTCGATGACAACCTGCACGAAAGTAAAGCTTCATAGATCAATATGAATCCTTTTTTCTAATCTCAGAAATTCACTCAACTATTACCTATAACGTTGAGTGACTTTCTGAGATAATAGTTGTTAGTTGAGTGACCGTATTTATAAATTAACTCCAGATTATGTATAAATTGTGACTAAATTGAACTGTCTGTTTACCTGTCCAAAGGCGTAAGGTATGGCAGAATACATTCCAGCAGCTTTTTCTCTGTAAAATACAGTACGCTCAACGGCTACAACAGGCTGGACTGATGATGAATTTTGTACACCAAGGAAGAGAGTTGCAGCATACATAGATCCCATAGCGTTGATAAGATCCTGACTCCGACTCCTGTGATCAACAAAGCTCGAATATTTTAGCTTAAATACTATAAGATGTTTTCTTTTAAAGTTAATATTTAGTTGTCATTGTGATTTGAACTTACACTTTGGTACCAAGATCCCAAAACATTGTGCCAAAGACAAGTGCAATGAATGTTGTGAAAATGAATCTAACTGCAGTATAAGCTGGATTACGCCAATACGACCAGTGTTGCTTCCAGAGACAAGCCATACATTGAGTCCAGAAAGGCTGTGAAAATTGAGTTTCAAAATGCAGATCC